ACACACGTACACACACACACGCACATCGGTAAGACAAAGCACAGGAGTCCACACACACACACACACACACACACACACACACACACACATCGGTAAGACAAAGCACAGGAGTCCAAACATAATGGCTCACATCTGTACTTGAGAGGCAGAGCCAGTGATGATCAGCCTCATAGGCTGGCTAGATGATAAAATGGGAGGGGTAACCCAGGCTTGTCATCCTGGCTACATGGAAAGCATGATTAGCAGGAGCATAATGGGTATAATGTGAAACCATTCCTCCATTTGTCTATCAAGCACAAGTCTGAGTTCAAACACAGTAGCACAAAATAAAGTAAGTTACCACAGAGGTTAACACGCCTACAATGTACTAACCAAAGGTTTCCGTGAAAGCTGTCACTGAACCCTGTTTTTTTTTCCATTTTTAATTCATTTTCATAAGTACGTAATGCAGGGCTTCTCAACATCGCCACTGTTGGCATGCTAGACAAAATAACTCTTTGTTGTAGAGCAGTCTGCACACTGTAGGGCAGTCAAGACGGGGAGGGGGAGGATGAAGAAAGTTGGGGGGGGTTGGTAAAGACAATACTCACAATACTCATTGCAAAGATTTCATACTCACAATGTCCTGAATTGATTCACTTTTCTCTGGGTTTTCCTCCAGATAAATCCTCTCCTTCAGACCACTCTTAGGACTCTAAATAATTTTTTTTAAGAGGAAAAAAAGTTCAGTTCATTATAATAGATTCCTAAAATGAGATTAGGAAAAACAGTGTGGAAAAAACATTCTGAAAATTAGCTATGATAAGAAATGTAGACATGTATGGTATGTATGCCTGATAAGTGTCAGCTGTGAGAATTTTTTTCCTTGAATCAAAAGTATAATTTTCCATTAAAATCTTTGACCCAATCACCAGATTCTTCTGTATGTATGTGTGTGTGGTGGTGGGGGACCAGTCCTGGGGCTTGAACTTATGGCCTGAGTAATGTCCCTCAGCGTCTTTTGCTCAAGGCTAGCAGGCTACCACCTGAACCACAGCACCACTTCCAGCTTTTTCTATTTATGTGGTACTGAGGAATCAAACCCAGAGCTTGATGAACACTAGGCATTCCCAGCCCTCAAAATTCTTTTTTTTTTTTTTTTTGTTGGTCGTGAGGCTTGAACTCTGGGCCTGGGTACTGTCCCTGAGCTCTTCAGCTCAAAGCCAGTGATCTACCACTAAAGCCACAGAACTGCTTCCAGCCTTTTCTGCTTATTTGGTGCTCATGCACCACATGTAGGCCTCATGCATCTCAGGCAAGCACCCTACCACTGAGCCACCTTCCCAGCCCCAGATTCTTATCATCATCATTCCAAAAGGAGTTCTCAGATTTTCCTTGTATGTGGAATTAAATCATTGGGCCTAAGCCTCAAAAGGTAGTCTAAATGATGGCCTTTAATTATTTTTTAAGCCCAACTTTTTCTTAACAGTAAGAGAAACATTCTATTATTCACCAGCATTTGTGTGTATACAAGCACGCGTGTGCATGTGTATACCATAAGGTCTAATATCTCTTCTGCACACAAAGCACTCCGACTTCCTATGCATGTCTTTAAGAGAAATACGAGTCACAATCCACTAGCTTGATTTGGACCCACAAAACACTGGCTCAGTCTACTTCCCTCATCACTTTTAAAGAAAGTGAACTACTTTTAAGTCTTTATTCTTATTACTACATACTACTTAAGAGTACTGTTGAGTATAAAATGCAGAACTTAGCTTTCAATATTTATTTAAATATGGTGCCACATTATAGTCAACTTAACATATTTCTTAGCAAACACCCATGTTAATCTCATTCTCATAGGGTGAATCAAGAAAGTGCTATTGCTGAACCTGGACAATTAGCTGAAGTCTAACAGGACTAAGGCTTTTCCTCTTTGTAATGGCAGAGTACTTCATGACTCAACACTGAGTCACTCTGACCACAAATGGAATATTAACATGCTCTTAAAGATATCAACAGTCGGCTTCTCAGTTCAGTGAAAAAGCACTGGCATTAAAGCACTGGCATTATTAACTTGTCTACCACAAACAAGATGCCTGCTGGGAAATTCCACTCTCCCAAAAGAAACCTTGGCATTGGGTGTCTGAGGGAAAAAGTGAACTCTGGAATTAAAAGCTCAAATACTGCACAGGGCTGGGAAGGTGGCTCAGTGGTAGAGTGCTTGCCTTGCATGCATGAAGCTTTGGGTTCAATTCCTCAGCACCACATAAGCAGAAAAAGCCAGAAGTGACCATGTGGCTCAAGTGGTAAAGCACTGGCCTTGAGCTAAAATGCTCAGGGACAGTGCCCAGGCCCAGAGTTTAGGCCCCACACTGACCAAAAAAAAAAAAAAAAATTCATATACTGCAGTGCCTAGAGTTTCAACTCATCATATTGCTATGTTAAAGACTAGGATGATATATAAAAAGAAGCAAAAGAAAAATCACTTCTAATTCACAACATTAAATCAGGAGAGGATCCATAAGGAAGAATACAATAGATAAAATTTTAGAAACTTCAAGCTTACATCTGCATTGTCGCTGCCAGGCCGAGAAGTATCTCCACCGCTCCAGTCAGTCCTATAAGGTCCATCTCCAGGATCCATGTCTGGTTCACTAACTGTTAGGGCATCCCCTAGAGGCCTGGAAGGTGTCACTACAGCTCCATCCTGAAACAGTTTACAGAAGCACAAGAACACACACACACACACACACACACACACACACACACACACACACACACACACACACACACACACACACACACACACACCCAGAGAAGGTTCATTACTAACTGCTTAAAGAAATAAGTGACACTATTTCTTCTACACAGAGACTGAAATCTCAAATCTCTGATGTGATCAAAAATGTTTAAAATCCTACAGTAAAAAGCATGAATTACTACAACTTCTAAAAATCCTAAAATGACATGATTCTAAAAACAGTAATGGTGGTATTCTAATAAAGACAGTAAAAATTCCAACTACTAAAAATAGCAAATAATAATAATATTTTATTAATTGTATTTTATTAATGTGATTTAGCTTATCTGACTATTGGTAAAGATGATTATACTATTGCTTCCCATTAGCATCCTTCCAATGCTGCCAAGTTTCAATAAATTGCCAATTCTAGGACACATACCACAAAATAAATTATTGTAAGCTTTAAATCAGGAGCCACATTTTTACTGCCCATAGCTAAGAATGCTGTCTTTGCCCAGTATAACAATATGATATTCAAAATGGGACTGAAAGTAATAAAAGAAGTATAATGAAAAGTACACAAGCCAGGAAGTAAGGGCTTCTAACCTGTGACCCTGTCCAAGTCACTGAACCAGTTTGGGCCCTAGTTCTCTCAACCTCATGGAAATGAGCAGACCAGGCTGCATGGTCTGAAAGAATCTTTTCAGTTCTATGGACATGTGGCTTTCACTTCAGACCTGATTCAAGAAATAGTGACAGCTCATCAGCTTTTACTCATTGTAGGTATGTAGGCAATTTGTCCACTTTCCTCAAAGATGAAGTATAAGCAGCTGTCTATGAGAAATACAATTAAATAACATATCTGGTTGACATTCAAATTTTGAGTTATTTTTTCTAATGACACCATCATCCCCGTAACTTATCCTGCAAATTCTAATACTATGTACTTTAAAGCTACAATAAAAACATAGTCATTGAGATTATGAATGTGCCTTGAAGACACCAGACTCTTGCCTCAGCCTCTAAGTGCTGGAATTACAGGCATGGACTAACACACCCTGCTGAATTGTGGTTCTATCACTTTTGAGGTACATGACCTCAGATAATCTGCTTAATCTCTCTAAGCTTCTCTAAGTTTTACACGTGAAGTAAAGAAAAAGAATAGGACCAAACTTCAGAACATTGCTGTACAAAGTGGAGAGGCTTGTCCATGTATGTACAATGTCCGTCATTTTATAAAAACCTATCAACTGCCATTCTTTCTTAAGATGAGACAAAGACTCACAAAAATTAACTATGTTCACCTAAATACATTTTTATCATTTGTCACATCAAAGAAAAAAGCACCCAATTCTTTTCCAAATCACTGCAGAACAAAGAAAGGAGATATGAGCAAGTAAACAATCAGAGGCCCACACTGACTTTTGTGCAACGTCCTACACAGGATATCCTGTTGTCCTGTGTTAGAAAAATCACTTTAAAAAGGCCATTGCAACATCTCCAACACATTCCCATACGACACTTTTCCTGTAAAAGGCTGGGTGGCCTTGTCAACAGTGATTCTACCTGCGCAGAGCCTGTGGCTTTGGATAACTGCTCTTGTAGCTGAGGAATGTGCTTCCTGGCCTCTTGGATCTCTTTTAGCAACTTCTGGGCAGGTGTTCGGTTATAGTCTTCCTGCAAGAACTGGAAAAGTTATAAAATTATTTTGAGAATTATTTACGTCATTAAAATATAGGAAGAGTCCATTATTAATCAACAAAATAGTTGCTAGCATGGATTATAATTCTCCTCAATCATGATTATGACCCAACTAACTCCACTTGGCCCACTCACAATTTTACTGTCCTACAAAGAGCCCCATTTCTAATTTAGTACCTGTAGCCGTTCCTGTTCTTTCTGTAACATTTTTCTCAAGATTTCTACTTTCTGGTTATGAACCACATTGTTTTCTTCCTGGAGAAAGATAAAAAATAAACAACCAGTAGAGAGAAATAAGCTAAAATAGAGAAAACAAGATAGACATCATTCTGCTTCGGCCCCAGACTCAGTGTCTTTCAGGATTTGTTCTAATCCTGGCTGTCATGAAGGCAGCTTTCAGACACAATACTTAAAAAGACAAGAAGTTCAGGGCAGTTTCTACCTTGTTATTTCACTACTACTAAATTGAATCCAAGAGAACATTAACACAGATAATAGTGGCAGAAGTGACGGCATATAAGTGTAAGAGCAGTATCTTATACTTCTCTTCTTTGTGTTTTACTACTGGTCCCCATGCTGGGCACAAACTCCCTATCCCTCCTGCCAGAAATATGAGACAACTTGCAACCACTCATCTCTCTATATTTCAACCCTGTAATATTTTGCCAATTTAGTCTTCCTATAATTCTGTTGTAGTCATATCATTTTCTTGCTCACAAGACTATTTAACGGATTCTCACTGCTTATCCAGTTACATGTAAATCAGACGGGCAGCTACGTAAGATCTATAGATGATGTACTTTTCACATGCTCATCCCTGACTATGAACTTCCTTAACAGGCACCAGCCAAACAAAAGTCCTGGAAACTTCCTAAAATGGTACTTTCTTGGCTCTTCATTTTTGTTTGTTCTACTTCCTCTACCTCAGTTGCTTTCCAATCTGTCACCACCACTTAAATGTTACTTGTTTTACAAGGCTCAGCTGGAGTAATAGCTTTCCATAAAGTCCTTCCTCATCATAGTTAGATGTGCTTTCTTTCCTCCTCTGAGACCTCATAGAGCATAGGGGTTTTTTTCCTCATAATGAGTATTTTTTGCCTTTGTGCTATACATAATTGTACACTCATGACTTGACTTCAATCAACAAGGATTTTCTAAGCACCTCTATCATGTCAAACAGTATTTCAGGTACTAGAGACACAATAGGATACAAAATAGACAAAAGAAAAAAAACTGTCCTCTTCTAAGACTCCTTAGATGGCCAAGAACTTTCTACAGGAGATATCTAAATTATATTTCTGTGAGTGACACACTGATTTGAACAGGGCAGATATTTAACAGTTATTCAATTAAATATGCCATGACAACATTTTGTAATCATCCCAAGTTATAATGCAACTTATATAAACACCTCAAAACTCTTACTAAAAAGCATACTACATAACCAAGCTTTGACTCAGAAATACTGCTGGCCTTACCCCCACCAGCACAGGGCTGGTGATCCTCTCCATGTTCCCAGATGCTCCAGGTGAATGAGGGGAAGACATGATGGGAGACATATGTCCAATGGCCGATGGCTCTACTTCAGAATCAGCAAGGGGAATCTGGGGCGACCCCGGTGGGCGTCCCTGAACAGTGAGAGCTACATAGGAACCAGCTTGGGGCAAGACGAGGAGAGTGGAAAGGAAGGAAAAAGAGAATGATATTAATAAGAAACTTTTTTTGAAATATTGTATCTACTGCTTACTCTGGCTAGCCTCAAATTCATCATGTACCCTAGGCTGGCAGAAAAACTGACTTTATTTTTCTTGCTCAGCTCCTAAGTGCTTGGATTACAGACATGTGCCAGGGCTGGCAATCTGACAGATCTAAGAAAATTATGTTATGTGACAAAATCCCATCATCTGCTCATCAACTGGCCTTTCCACTGTGAGTGCCCCTCCACAGGAGAACAATGCCCTTTCAGACTGCAGACCACCACACGGAAGAGCAGACACTGCATCAAAGCAAATACAGTCTCTAACCTCAACAATGTATTTTCTTAATTAAGAGATGGTTAACACCAACCACTTACTAATGGTATGTTCTCTAATTTCTTAAATGCCCATTTTTGAAATCTTTAAATTTTAATGCAATACTAATTAGGCAGGACTTAACATCCTAGAATATAACAATAAATTTTAAGCTAGTCTTATGAAATGAATATAACTAAAATAGTCCACATAGCAGAAAAATCACAATAGTGAGTTTTAATTGAAACTTTCACTAGACATTTAAAGGGAGGGAAAAAAAACCCTAGACAATCGAATTTATGATAAGCCAAGACTCACCAGCCAACATTCACTATTTATCTAGCATCAGTAAGAAATTAATGTTTCACATAAACAGCTTTTTTAGATAACTGATCTCTAAATGAAAAAAACACTTTTTAGACTTTTCAATACAAATTTTAAATGCATTTTAACACTTGCTTCCCTAAAATTCAGTCCTCCCATGAAATTAAGAGTCATTTCACAGTGTTCTATGGTCCTAAAAATTATCTCTCTTTACACTAACTAGTTCCAACTGCTAAGAAAGGAGGGTGTCTAATACTTTAATACTTTTTTTTTTCTTTTTGAGACCGGGTCTCACTATGTAGGCTAGGCTAGCCTCAAACACTATAAAGTCCTCTTGCATCAGCCAACTAAGTGGCTGGGATTCACACACACAGCCATACCCAGCAAGTATAAGTACTTTTTAAACCCTTACAGTCCTATTACTCTTTTTCAGAAAGTCATTTCTCTTATATTACTAGCTCACATACTGTCTCCAATAGCTTATTAGTTCTTCCCTTTCTCCTTTAGTTCTCTCTAAGGTGCTCCAATTTGAAATCACTTTTACAATGTCTAGAATCAGCATCGAAGAGTAGGTGTATATGAAATCTCTACATAGTGCACAGGTTTTAGGCATGCCACATCTATTTTGTTTACTCAGGGTGTTTTATACTTGGTTTGTTAACTACACCCTCACTAATGCTACTGGGTAAGTAATCTACTGCTATAATCCTAGGGTTTATTTTTGTTTTCTAGTGCTAAGGATTGAACCCAAGGCCTTATTCATGCTACATGCAAGCCTCTACCACTGAGCTCCAGCTCCAGCCCTCAGATTGTACTTTTTAAGTAAAATTTATACTGGAATAAATAAAACCAACAAAATAACTAGAAGGATAAGGAGCTCACCTTATTTATATATTCTACAGTAGACATCAGGCATAAATAAACTTGTGAGCATAAACCTTCATATTTATGTCACATACAAAAGTTATAGAACACAATCTTGTTGAGTAAACTGGTTTATTCAAGTGTGGGATCTGATTTTGATCATGGCATATCTTTTTTTTTTTTTTTTTGGTCAGTTGTGGGACTTGAACTCTGGGCCTGGGTGCTGTCCCTCAGCTCTTCGGCTCAAGGTAAACGTTCTACCACTTGAGCCACAGCGCCACTCCCAGTTTTCTGGTGGTTAACTGGACAGAAGAGTCTCATGGACTTTCCTGCCTGAGCTGGCTTTGAACTGCAATCCTCAGATCTCAGCCTCCTGAGTAGCTAGGACTACAGACATGAGCCACAAGTGTCTGACGATCACGGCATATCTTTAAAAATATTCTAATGTTAGAAACTGAAAGTGACCATTCAGAAAATTGGAACTGTACGGGGCTGGAAGGTGGTTCAGTAGTAGAGTGCTTGCCTTGCATGCATGAGGCCCTGGGTTCGATTCCTCAATACCACATAAGCAGAAAAAGCCGGAAGTGACACTGTGGCTCAGTGGTAGAGTGCTAGCCTTGAGCTGAAATGCTGAGGGACAGTGCCCAGGCCCAGAGTTCAGGCCCCATGACCAACAAAAAATAAAAAGAAAGAAAGAAAACTGGAACTGTGCTGGAAAGGAAAATGAATTCAGAGCTGCTAACTGAAGCAATTAGAAGTTCAACAGAATAGTCTATCGAATTCATTCTGAAGATGTCTCTCTACACCAGAAAAAGAGTTAAGTAAAATATTAATTATTTTGCTAGGCCACAAACAACTATCTTTTAGTTGTCATCCTCTTTACTATGAAATAACCTGATGAAGAAGATCATAAATTTTTTAATTTATTGTATCAAAATTATTTTAAGGTGTCATTTCTTTTTTTTTTTTAATGTAATGACAAATACAGCCGACGCCAAGCCATTACAGAGAAAAGAATGATTATAGGCAGTGGGACACTGGGACTTCCTCTCTCTACTCCTGCTATGCTGGTCTGTGCTGTTATTTCTGTAACAAGTGAAGAAACTCTTGGGAAACAGGCAGGACTAAAAGGTAGCAACCTGGATCTGGGCTGGGAGTGTAAGGTGTGGAACCTGGACTTTTTCCAGGCTTCCTCGCCACTGGCAAACAGAAGCTCACAGAAACACTGGTCCTTCAAGGGGCTGGCACTGGTCTGCCCAAGCCTCATCGCCAGGTGGGAGAAGCCACATCCACTTTTGACCTTACAATGGCAAGAGAATAGGCAGTTGTAGATTCTCACTGGTCTGAGATTCAGTTTTTCCATGAAAACTAAATGAAGGAAGGCTACTAACTCAAAGCCAAAATCATAAACCCTTAACCCTGAAGTTTTCCCAAGAGATATTCTCGACTCTGGATTGTACAACCATTTACTCATCATTGTGTCATGTGATCTCTAAACTTCCATTTCAGTCTGATCCCTTAACTTCCTCTCTTCTAATTCATTTATCTGTTTATATAAATGTATATACTCAAATGAATGACAAAGATATAATGAACCCAATGTATGGAGCTGACAGAAAATAACTACTAGTAACTTAAGAGCTTCCACTTGAGAACTTTATTCCACAGGGTTGGCAAACTCCAGCCAAGGGGTTAAATAGGGCTCACAGATATAGTTATATTAAAACCCAGCACAGCCAATCTTTACATACTATGACTGCTTTGGTGCTACAATAACAGACTCCAGTACAGTAACAACCGCCATGTTCCATCTACACCTCCTAAGCTATTTGCTGTTTAGTCTATTACAGAAAATGTCTGTTGATTCTTGTCTTATGGGTTTCAGAAAACGATTCACACTAAATACAGTATTCACTTACATTTGATTAGCTTCACAACCTCCAAATGGTTTGAATGAGTCACCAGAGTTCCATTCACCTATAAGAAAATCAAATAATAGATATTAAATATATCCTACTAAGACAATGGACAGGCTGACTTTAAGAATTGTCATCTAGCTGGGCGCCAGTGGGTCACACCTGTAATCCTAACTACTCAGGAAGCTGAGATCTGAGGATCAAAGTTCAAAGACAGGCCGGGCAGGAAAAGTCTGTGAGTCTCATCTCCAGAAAATGAGAAGTGGTGCTATGGCTCAACTGGTAGGGCACTCACCTTGAGTGGAAGAGCTCAGGGACAGTGCCCAGGCCCAGAGTTCAAGCCCCAAGACTGACAAAAAAAAAAATTATCATCTAAAATAAAACCAGGTATAATATATGTACGTGTGTGTGTGTGTGTGTGTGTGTGTGCATGCGTGTCTGTGTGTATGAATCTGGCTTTCTATGACTCTATTGGATCTACTGCCAGATCAACATTTACACTAGAGTCACAGATCTAAAATCAAGATTGATTTTCCACTGCCTCTCATGTATACCATATACACAGCATACTTTTTTTCTGCTAACTCTTTATTCGTCTGTCTGTTCTCAGTGCTGAGGATCAAGCTCAGCACTCCATACATGCTAGGGTAAGTACTACCACTGTGTTATGCCCTCGGTCCTCTATAGGAACAATCCATTTGACACATAATAGTACTACCATAATTCATATTTTAAATAAGGACTTTTATCACTTATATTTGTTTGCTGGCTTTTTGAGAAGCGATCTTACTATGTAGCCCAGGCAAGCCTTGAACTTGTAATCTGCATGCTTCAGCCTCCCAAAGACTAGAAATACAGCCATGAACTACCATATCTGGCTAAAATCAATGTCATGGGGATTATTTTTGTTGTTGTTGCTTGTAATGCCCAAATTTGAACTCAAGGTCTCCTCTTTGCTAGGCGAGTGCTCTTGAGCCACATCTTTAGCCGCTACTTACATATTTAAAGGGGCTTTTTTTTTCTTGACAGTACTGGGGTTTAAACTGAAAGCCTACTGCTTGATAGACAGGTGCTCTACCCCTTGAGCCATGCCTCTAGCTCTCTACTTACATATTTTAAGGCACATTTCTACTAAGAGATTAATGTGGGCAGGAATGATCTTTACAAAAGTGAATTGTTTTCTTATCAAGAACATATAGTTCTTCACTTATTATGATACCTTTTATTAAGCCCTTTAGTGAAGGATAGTAGTGATTACAAAATAAACGCAAAATAAATTAAGTCTTAATATTCAACAGATCCATAAAGTGCTGCTTTTAATAAAAATCCAAATTAAAAAACAAAGAGTATGGCTGATATATCCTGTTTTCAATCCTACCACAAGTCCCATAATAGTCTTTTCTTTACCTTGATGATCCGATCACCTGTCTGCACACCAGCCCGCATGGCTGCTCCATCTGTGTAAGAAATGAGTTACTTAAAACATGATTCGCTTGCAGTCACTGAAAGTCTTCTTGAAAGTAATGTGAATTAACAAAGCAGTTAAAAACATGAGCTGTAAAAGGACATGAACCTAAGTTCAAATCATGCCTCTGTCTCTCACTAGTGAAATGCTGCCTTTTTTTATGGCCTGCTACTTTTAGGCTCATTACCACCTATAAAATAATTTTTAAAAAATACTCCAAATTTCATGACATCCAATATAAAGAAAATATTCAATATGTGTTAACAGCAAAAGACATTATTTTAATTTGAGGCAAGAACTGATTATTGTTTAGCCCATCACCCTCCCTTTAGTCAATACTTATTATGGTCACTAGTGCCTTAAAGAATGGAAATTCTAGAGCCTTGGAGCTGTTGACACATAAAGTATCACAATCATGGAGTCATAGGGTTTCTAGAGTTACACAAATGATAAAGAAAACCACCCGGGGGTAAATTCATTCCCGTTAACACTACAGGCAAATCTGCAATAGTCCACAGGACCTGCAAACTGTGAAGTTATTCTATTCCAGGCAACAGATATTTTCAAGCTTTTCCGTGCTTATTCTGCTTGCCCCTGGTGACAAAACTTTTTTAAAATGCCTTGCCTTCTTTGACAGACTGTACGAAGACTGGATTGTCTCCACTGACCGTCAGCCCAAATCCATTGTCATCTTTCTGGATGACCACACACCGCTGAACAAGACCTGCACAAGAACCAGAGTAAAGAAAGAAGGAAGAGAAGACAGAATGAAAAGGACAATGATTATATATTAGCAATGAACCATATGCTACCTGGGGAGACACAAGAGACCTCATGAAACCCATATATAAAGAAGAGTTCTAACTCCATCAACAAACAAACAGAGGAATATCACAAAGAAACACAAATACTGGTTTCTCACTGAAGAAGTAGAATAGAACTACTCCAAGATTAAGAAGTTATAGCGAATTGGAAAGGGGAATTATTAGAAATGAGACAATTAGAAGGAAAGCCCCTTGCTATCTGAGCTATTTATTTGTCATATAAAATCCTGTCCCACTGCTCTGAGCTCTAATTGATGTTTAATCCAAGAAAATCAAATGCTTCTGTAGAACATAAGGTTAGGAGCATCCTATGGAAAATTCCAGAGAATACAATCTTAACCTCAAAAAATATTCTTAGATAAACAGACTGCAAAGAAGGAAAATATGTGCAGAATACCTGCAGCTACACTCCTAAGAGGTAAAGACAAAGGGATGAGTTCAAAGGGAAGAAATACTCTGGCTCACAGTGAAAATAAACAGAAAGGAGACAAAAGCAGGAAAGAGAAAACCTGTGAGCCTTCAACCAGTTCTTTTATCTACGTATATACTTACCTGATTCCTGTAGGAGAATTTTTCCCCCTCCTAAATAGCAAATGAAAACTATCAGGCAAGGTGCCAAACAGGGGAACTCAACCAAAAAAAGACTGTCCCTAAGCAGACCACTCTGCAGTTCTGTTTGGCACAGATCAGATCTGAAGATCCTGATCTCTGTGTAGAGATACTTAATGTACTTTTAGTTTTGCAGAAACAAACCATTTCACCAAAACCCAAACTATGTAACATTAAAATAATACAAAGATAATGATTGGAAAATAAGAACTTCTTCCAAGAATTTTATATATAAAGAATAGATAGATAGCTTATATCAAGAGCCACAATATCTTTGAAATAACTGATAAGCAAAGGATATGTTAAAGATAATATATTACTAATATCTTGTTGGCATAGTATATTCTTGCTGATAATAACATGGCATGGATAAGTTGAGCTTACTGAAGACAAAAGACTGGAGTAACTGGATTCCTATAAAGAAAATCCAAACCTTGAAATCCTACTCTATCCAAAAATTAAAACATCACGGCGGGGAGGGAGTTAGAGTGTTTTCCTGGCATCAACAAGTCCCTGGGTGTGATCCCCTCCCCACGCTGGAAAAAAGGCAAAACCAAGGACCTAAATGTAAATTTAAGCCAACTTCTCAGAAGAAAATAAAGCAGCAAATCTCTAAGATCTCAAGGACACAGTTCTCTCAAGATGTAAAATGCACCAATCATCAAAGAAAAAAAATCTGGACTCAAAATTAAAACCTTTCGCTCTTCTAAAGACACTCAAAAAAGTGAAAAACTAAGCCACAGACTGAGAGAAAATAGACATAATACTTTACAAATATCTGGTAAAACACCTTTATCTAGATTATACTTCTGAAAGCAACTTCACAATTCAATGGAAGATAATTTTTAAAAGACCAAAAGATTTAAATAAATATATCAAAAAGATACAGCAGTAGCCAACAAATACTAGCAGAAGTGCTAATTAATATCTGCAATATTGACAAAAATGTACATTAAAAACACAGTAAAACCTACGCACTAAACAGAATGGCTAAAAAATAAAAAGACTGAGCATATCAAGTGTTGGCAAGGCTATGAAATAACTGGAATTCTTATAATGTTGCTAGGAATTTACAAAGCCTTGAGAAAATAGTTTGGAAATTTCTTATAGAGATAAGCATATATTTACATATGATCCAGTCATTTTATTTCCAGGAGAAATAAAAACTCATGTCTATATAAAGTTTATTGCAAAAATGTTCAAACTAGATTTGTTTATTAGAGCCAAGAATAAGAAACAATTCAAATGTCTATGAACATATGAGTGGATAAGCAAATTGTTATATACATAACATAAACTACTATCCAGCAAAAGAACAAAAGTACCGTGAATATATAACAAGATGCAAGGATGAATCTCAAAAACATCATGCTAAGCAAAAGGACCCAAACACAAGAGAGTGCATTATATAATTCCAGTGCAGCACAGGAAGAGTCCAAGCTATAGCAACCAAAAGCAGACCAGTAATTACCTGAGCAAGGAGAGGGAATGACTGGGAAAGGAAATGGAACTTTGTGTCGTGGAAATGTTCTGTATCATCAATTGTCACATGAGTGTGTTAGTTTGTCAGAAATCGTCAAACTGTGCACTTAGCAAGAGCGCATCTTATGTACATCTTACCTCAAATTAGTTCCAACATTAAAAGTTATTATATCTCAATTCTAGAGATTACTAGCACTGCAGTAGTTTGTATTCATATCACTTCCACAAAACAGTAAAAGGTATTGAGGGTAGAAGAGAAATAACCTATCAGAATTCAACCTTTGTAGGTCAGGGATGGCATGTACCTATAAGCCCAGAATTTGGAGGCTGGGGTAGGAGGTTCACAAGTTCAAGGCCTGCCTGGCCTTGATAGGGAGAGTCAACCTTGTTCCATGTAGCTTCTTTCAGATAATCAGAGAAAGACTATAAATGAGTATGGATACAAAAAAAAAATCTAGTGGAAAAAAAGTGTTCTAGATAAATTTCTAGTAAATAACCAGAATTAGAGCCTCCTGAAATAGAGTAAGAGCAACATTTTACAGGAGTCTGTATAAATCCATGCTTACTAAACACCAATATTTCACCATCTCCTTAACAATCATTCACATTTCAAAACAGACACTATGGTATTAAAATAAAAATCAAAGTAATTATAATACCAAATATATTGATGTTCACATAATATATATCTATGCTTCCCAGCTCACTGAAATCAGTGAAAGAAGTCCACTGTACTAAAACACTGGTCTTCTAAAACACACTTCTCAGGTGCTTGCAGTGCAAAGGCTGCTTGTCAGAAGCGAGGCAATATGGCTGATATAGTGGTATGCACCTATAATCCCAGCAGTCAGAAGACTGTGTAATGTAATTACCATACGAATATGACTGTCTCTGAAAAAAAGTAGCAAGCACATAATCACTTGGATGGCTATAAGCTGTGTCCCAGAACTCTGTATAGGGACAGGCAGAACATCTAACAAAAAAGATAGTTCTAAGGCTCAACTTTCCTTGAAACTTGGTGATAACGTTCCACTCTCACCATTCTTGGTGGTACATGAAGACTTTCCCACAGCTATCTATTATATGAATATGGAGTATAATAAGTAACTATATATGTATGCACTTATCAAAAGGCATTATACTTTTTTCTTTTGCCTCAAGCTATAAACATCTAGAAAACAGCTTGTGTCAGTCCTGTTATCTACGTATCCCTTAGCATGTAACAGGAACTATTTATAGACGTCTACATATAATAGGAATTCAATAAATATTAAATAAATCTGAGTTTGTTTTATATAAAGGAAATTCTGAATAAATCATTTTAATAAGAAATTAAATCATATAACCAGGCATGGTGGTACATGACTATAATCCCAGCACTCCCAGCTAAAGAATCAGATGGCAAATTCGTGGCCTACTTGGACTACATAGTGAGACCCTGTCTAAAAACAAATAAACAAAAACCTCAATTAACAAGAGAAGAAAATCATAGCCCTGAAGATTATTCACAGTAGATAATACTATGTAAGAACATTAATTAACAATCTGCCTGGCAAGATTTCAGACTATCTACTTGAAACTAACTCCTCTATTCACAACGACATTTTTTTTTATTTCCTATCTTGACATTTCTCCTGGAAGCAGGAGAAGTAAAAATGTTCTATCAACTTTACATATATACTAGGCTTTCCTAAATTTTATTTCTCTTATTAGAAAAAGACATGGCTTTCCATTACAATAATGTGACGTGTAAAACGAACATAAAGTCTACTTCTCACACCATAGACAATTACCAATGTTTTTATTTTGAAAATGAATACACTGTATCTTTGTAATGCTTTGGAGAAGAAAGGATAAAAGATATTCTGAAAAATGTGAGAAGGCACTCTCAAGTTTCACTATAAACATATTCCTGAAGAAAGGTCACATCTACAGTGCCAGATGGTAATTTAATGAAAACCGAGTGCTAGACACATGGGCAATATGGCAACCCTTCATATTACGTTGCTTTTGGAGAACATACATTAGTCTTTCTTCACCTTTTATTTTATTACATGACCAAGCTTCTCTAAGCCTCACCTCCTAAGAATTAGCTTCAGGAAAGGGTGTGGAGAAAAACCATGTGCAACCCAATCAAAACAGCTCATCTGCAAACTGCTGCCAGACATGCGTGTTTTATGAGTAAACCTTCAGATAGACAATCCTCTGTTAAGAAGCTTCTGCTGTCTAAATGCATAATGCTGCCAGCAAGAGGAGCCTCAAGTCCCCAGCATTCTGATTTCTTTGTTTAGATCACTAACAGAAATAAATCTCTTTTTTAAGTTACATTTTCTTCTACTTTAAGTTTTCCAAAAGGGAAGAGCCAATTAAGATGAGTCAAGACTTTATTCCATCAATTGTCTACTAAAATAGTTCATCTCAATCTCAGCAATCATTCATTCAAAACTCACTTAAGAAATGACTCCAAGTCAGGCATTATGGGATTTGCAAAGACGAGTACAGAAGCAATTAACTACCTCCAAAGGAGGACAGCAATGTTCAGAAACAAGAGAGGCAGCTGGGCAAAACCAGGAAGGAGCAATACTTTTTAAATTTGTCAGATAAAACTGCCACAAAGTATACATGCTATGGAATATCATATTGTCCAGCCATACATGCAAATATATATATATATATATATATATATATATATATAGAGAGAGAGAGAGAGAGAGAGAGAGAGAGAGAGAGAGAGAGAGGAGTTGAAATTCCTAGCTAATTAACAAATGTACTACTTCCTATTCTTCTGGTAAGAATACAATATACACTT